ATTTTTTATTCGTAAATGCAGAAGATGTTTGATAAGAATAGTCAGCATGCAGTTGGGTCTGAGGTAGACATGAGTTCATCGGGTGAGTCAACGTGAAATGATAGGTGCGATAATGCTATCATGAGCGATGGCTGGATTTCATAGTGCACACGAACTGAACTCATAAGAAATTTGGCGAGTAGAAAAAATCATTAAGAAATGAAATATAATGAACAATTATTATTAAAAGAATACTATATGATTTAATTGTTATGTTATGCTTGATATAATCACTAGGCCTGGATGCAAGCAGTGTAAATTAATAAATTAATGTCATTTTACCAACAAAGTAGCGCCATACAGTTGATTTCTTCATATTACTAAATATAGATAAATCCTGTGAGAACCCCCCAAAATGCGCATGCTTAATCTAGTAAAGTGTAGCTATGTTTATTTTTAAATTATATGAATTATTATTAATAATATTTATGAAACACTCTAAACGTAAACATAAAGGAACTATGTGAAAAACGCGTCTCTCGTGACGTCACACGGATGACGTTGATTTGGGAACTTATTTCTCGGCTGCGCGCATTATAACAACTGGAAAACTAGCAGTCATTTGCGAATATAAATACTTCACAGGGTGGATTCGCTGCATCTTGCTGCATGTTGTACAACATGGCTGCTCTTCTTGCAGCATACGCATTCTTTGACAGTCATGCCAGCTCAGTGTATTCATCATTCACGGTTTTACTAATTCGGGAATTTTCAAGTAATGCTATCGTCATGATACGCGATTAGAGATGACTGTATGAAATAACTAATCTATAGCCACGTAAAATGCTTCGCACTGTTAGAAAAAGCGCACCATTATGGAAAGCCATCCCCTTCAAAAATAATTTTCAAACATTTCAAATACACAATTTTAAATCAATTTAAAACATTTCAAATTAATTAATAAAAATACAAATTACTTTATATTGTTCGAAAAATTTAAATTTAAAATTTAAAATCAATTCACTGATTAACAAATCAATTTATTAACTTGCAAATTAATTCAGAACTTTCCAAAATAATTGCCTGATATACAAATTTCTTCACATCATTGTAAAAATTCATTTTCTAAACGTACAATTTATTTTCAAAACAACAAACCAATTTACTAACTTGCAATTTAATTGATAACATGTTACATAAACTCACAAATGTTCAAATCTTGCTTCATCACCCTAACAATTGGAATTATAAGTTTCAAATTAATTTACAGAATAACGAATCAGTTCACTAAGTTTGAAATTAATTTATTACTTTTAAAATTAATCACCAGAAATGCGAATCTAACTGTTGGTTACAGAATTATTAGGTAACAAACGACAAAATTGTATAGCTTAAATCACAATGACAAGGTGACTGGCCCTCCACGTACCTACTAAATTCAGACATAAAGCTAAATATGCTTGGCAAAATGGAATATGACTGTATCTATCTCAGTACCGGAAACATTTGAAGCAATATTGCATGTGATTGCATCGTGACATTATTGTTCTTGAGACAGCAAGTTTATTTTTATCTAATATTTCGTTTCCTCTTTCCTCAGTACAAATGTTGGCAACTTTAACATACTGTATAGCTAGTGACGTATACTCCACAGAACATGTAGATTGAGCTACTCTAGCCTAACATGGTTAGTAGGATATGCTACATTGACTTATGGTCCTATTCCCTTTTATACGAAATCACGCATCATTTGACGAACATTTCAATCTACATCAGCAATCTTGTACTATGAGCGAATTAACCATCATCCATAACCTACCCATCATCTATTTAAAGCCTATAACCGTCATATCATAGCAGTCATACATACAACAATCGACATATGAGCTTGAACATAGCTTCCAAGTAGAATTAGATGAAGTTTCTAGATGAAGTTCAGCCTGGTTCCACGCCTCTCCTATCCGTATACATCACGTCATGGTACTATAGCATATTACACTTACTTATTACCATACTAGAGGAGTTTAAAAAACTAAAGTCGTGTGTTATTAGTATTGTTTTTGCATGCGTTAGGCCAGGGTACATGGTAACTTTCGTTCATGAATGTTAAACTATTAAGATATTAATTTTTATTATATACCGGTATTCTGAAACCAGACATAACTGTCAGCAGTGGTGAATATGGGTTAGAAGTCGCATTTGTAGAACCCTGCGTGCTGGGTGCGTCCTACACAATCAGTGCTGTAGTAGACGACGTGCCGTGGCTTTCCTATGATATCTGCCAGGCTGCCGTGTAGTCCTGTATTAGGCACGCTGCACCAAAATCAGAAATGTGTCGGCAGCAACGTATTCTAAACCAAAAAAAATATTAAAAGCAAACAAGAAATTATTATCCTTGATATGCTGTATTTTCATACGTAGGATTTGCGGTAAATTTAAGGTTGTCCGCCATCTTTCTTCCAACAAATGCAACTAGATGAATTAACTCGACATTTTGTGGATCAGTCATTTCATAGACGATACGCTGCAAACAAGCACAATATGACAGATGTCTATGTCATGAGCTCCTGTCGTGAAGATGGCCATAAGCAGCGGATGCGTGTGTCTGTGGAAAGTGAACGGAAGTGTTCATAAATAGGCGCAATAATGTTTTTGTTAAAAAGAAAAGAGGAGAAATTGTATTAAGAAAAAATAGAAGAATCAGCAGGAAAATATACAAAATACAAACAGAGCGACAGAAAGAAAGAGAAAGAGAGAGAGAGAAAAAGAGAGAGCGAGAGAGAGAAAAAAAAGAGAGAGAGCACGAGAGAGAGAGAGAGAGAGAGAGAGAGAGAGAGAGAGAGAGAGAGAGCACGGGCGAATGGGAGAGACTGGTAAATGGCCAGGAATAGAGGCAGGAAGAGGGAGAGGTCAATACGACAGAAAACGACTTGGATAGAAAATATAGAATGAAGAGGAATTGATGTAAAAGAGGAATACAGGCGTATCGACATACAATTGATTGTTAGGATTGAATATTGCAGACATAAAAATCCAGAGAACTGAAGGTGTAGTGAAAATCTAGAGGAAGCGAGAGAGAAAGGATAGTGAGAGAGAGAGAGAGAGAGAGAGAGAGAGAGAGAGAAAGAGAACGAGAGAGAAAAAACACCACCCACCATTGTTTTTGCAATTGCTCGCATTGGGGCAATAGCGGAAGACTGGACGCGCTGCGAGCTTCACTTGGTCCCACACACACGAATCACGACTATCCGGGTTTAGTGGATCAAGAATGACCATCCAGCCTGCGTCAACGTCACAGCCACCACCGCTTTTCTGCAAGAAAAACCTCCTCTGCTGTCCGAGTCCCGAGCTGAAAGAATGATAACAACAAACGTAGAAAATTACAGGCTTACATGTTCATTCGCAAGTAAAGCACCTCAGTTCACACGTCTAAACCTAATGAACACGCTATCCGTTTTTCTCTTATTTAAATAATTGCTTGCGCAAGTACGCGCTCATATGTAACAAATATGTATCGCACTCTGGCACATCGGTTAACCGATCGAATTATCGGTCAGTCGGTCGGATATATCAGAGGATATATCGGTCGACATATCAGTCGGATTATCGGTCAGTCTATTAACCTCAGGGGACATCGTCATCCAGAGTCTGCGCTTGCACACTCGCGCACAAGCGAAGTGAATATACGACGTAAAACCTCAGGTTTTATGGCGACGCAAAGCCGTGTTAGCTTCCTTGTTATTTTTCCGAATCACAAAAGAATGTCCTTTCTCATATCTATCTATTTCATAACGACATTGTGCTTCGTCTGGAAGCTCACTCAAACTACAACCCTGTGCTGTGTTTGCAACCTGGACGGACTTGCGGCCCCGGTTTTTGCGCGCAGCGTACAGCTCGCGGCGAAGCCGCGCCCTAACGCGAATACGCCGCCCCCTTTTTGTCCTCTTAGACAGATATCTGAGACAGGGGTCTGAAAA